ACCCCTCTGGAACAGCTAGTTGCTGATCAGCCAGTCAGTTCATCTAGCTGCAGCCCTTTACCTGAGGCTTCAGAACTAACTTTTCCATCCTGGTTCAGAGAAGGCAGGTTGGCCTGTGAAAGGCTGAAAAGGTGTGCTGTATTACAGTCTTTAATGCTGGGTTGTCCATGCATTCTCACATTTTTGTGTTATTTTGCTGCTAATAGTCACTTAAGAGTTGCTTATCTAAGTTTTCAAGCACAGTTTAAGCATACTTTGAATGCACTACTTTTGCATTATTTTTGTACACTAAACTAGAAATCTCATCTCTGCTACCCAAGTGGTAGAAATCTGTGTTCAGATGATTTCATTTTTAAGGCTTTTCCCTTTCATTTGTTTTTGTAATGTTCAAAATAATTTATCTTGAAAGGAAAGCTTATTTTAATCAGTACATATAAAGACTTAATCTATTACTTGACAACTGAACATGCCATACTAGTTGGGGAGAATTGCAGTGTGAAGCATCTTTAATTTTTTTTAAAAAATCTCAATTGTACTTTTCCTTACCTTCCAATCTTCCAAAACAGTTATCTTCAGGTACACATTATACAGTCAGGGTTGCTGTCTCCACAGATTTTTCATCCAGGATTCAACCATTCACAGCTTAAAAATACTACACATACACTCACGAAAAACAAACCTTGATTTTGTCATTTTATATAAGGAACGCCATTATACTTTACCATTGTATATCGTTGGACCTGAGCATCCATGGATTTTGGTATCCATAGGGAGTCCTGGAGCCAAACCCCAGCAGATACCAGAGGTCCACCATATTTAGTTTTATATTTTCCCACTGGGACAAATGGTAAGACCAAAACTATTTGCTAAGGGTGTATTTTGCCAAGCAAAGGCGAGAATGGACTGTCTTGAATCTGCTAAACTGAAATAATTTAAACTATATTAATATGTAAAACCTGAATAGTCTTTGAAACATTACTACATATATACCTCAGAGGATCGTGGAAAAGTCCTACTTGAAAATGAAAAATGTAAAAAAAAAATTACTTCACAATTGAAACTTAAATGAAGACTAACCCATCCTCATGATAATAAAATAGAACACTTTCCAAACTAGGATTTACATTTCATATGGAAATTCAAAGAACAGGTACTGCTCCTATTTTGGAAAGTTGTGTATACGTGTTCCCCATGAAAGCTGCATTGAAGCAAAGGTTGTGCAGAGCCTGATGGGCTGTGCCCTTTGCCTTTATACCTCTTTGGGGCAAGAGAATTCAATAATGTTTTTAAAATATGAGGTAGCCATTTACACAATTCTAAAATTATGCCTACAGAATGATGTTCTCTCCTCTCCTGTGTGTTGATAATTAGCTTGATTTAATGCCTTTTATGAAGCTAAAGACACACTGGTCAAACATCTGTCCCACACACCCTTACACCATATCACTTCCAAGTTTGTGTCTTACTCCTAAATACTTCTGTGTCTGCCATTTTTGAAACACTTTTAATAGTAGAAGAACAATAGGAATTCAGGCATTCTGTAGAAGTATACATGTCTAGTTTGTAAAGTGTGTAATGTGTACTCCAGAAGTGTACTCTCTGGGATCTATGTATCTGTACAGTAGCTTGTTTTAGAGTGGGGAACAAAATGTGGATACTTTTCTGATGGTTACCAGCTGGGGAGAAATTGCCACTGTTATAAAAGATGTTGAAATAAATCAAGCGCTGCGTAACAGGGAACCTGGATCTCCCTTCTCTTCCCCATAGATTAGTCTTTTGATCTTGGTTCTAAAATACTATTAAAATGTATGGATACACTGGCAGACTGCATGATGTATCACCCAAGAACTGTTAAAGTGGAAATAAAATTGAAGCAAACTTTCCTGTGACTTGCATCTGTGTCTTGTTTTGAACACCTGGTCATAATTTCAATGTGTCCTGCGCCTTACATATGGTATTCCTACGTTGTTTCTCTTTCATGTGTTAAGCATTCAAGACAGGTTCTGTGTGAGTCTGCCAGTCCACACAAAGCTGAAGGTTACAAACCTTTTGACTTGTAACCCTTGATTAGCAGTCATCACTGCCTATATCACTGCCCACTATGAATTAAAGCCTTCATACCTGGTGAAGCCAAACAAACTTTGTGCCCCTGATGAACATCTTGTGCGGAAAAGAGGAAGGAAATACTTCACTGGTTAGATCTGTCTCCCCCAAGATTTAAGCAATATGTTACGGCCGTGCTTCTCAAATTTGATACCCCTATGACCCCCTTTAAATCTCAAGTACTGACTTGAGACAAATCAGTAATAAGATAACTAGCTGTTTTCACTCTCTGGGAGGTTTCACTAGCCACTGCAGTCCCTATGTTGGGAGAAAGACAGGATATAAGAAAACAACAACAGCAACAATAATTCTTGATCCTGATTTTTTGTTGCATGTAGCATGACTTCCAAGTGGCTTGTGCATTGGATTATGACTCTGGAGACCAGGGTTCAAATCCCCTGCTTGGCCATGGAAATCTATTGAGTGACCTTGGGCAAGTCACACATTTTCAGCCTCAGGTCATAATTTCAATTGTGTGGCTCTCTATATGTTTTTGGACTGAAACTTGCAGCACTGCTAGTCAGCATCGTCAGTGATGAAGACTAATAGGAGTTGCAGTCTAGCAAAATTAAGAAGGCTGCACAGTTCCCACACCTTCCTTAAATGAACAAGCCCAGGCAGTTACCCTATTAATTGATTCAAAACAGAACTACTGAAACTGTCCCTTGGAGAGTAAGAAATCATGCTTTTTCTTGTTCTTGTTCTTGTGTTCCTTCAAGTAATTTCTGACTTACAGCGACCCTAATGCAAATTGGGAAATGCACTCCAGCGGCCATTTTTCCAAGTCAGAAGCTTTAGGGGCAAAAACCACAGGACAAGGCCCAGCTCCAGGCCGAATTGGGCTCTAATTCACAAGAGGTGAGCCAGGTTTGGGAGGAGGTGCAATAATCTCCTAGCTCAGTTCTAGCTTGTGTGGCTGTAGCTTCTATCTTCCCATGAAAATTTAAACAAGAAAAATCCTCAAAAGATTTTCCACTGGTAAATTTCAAATCTCATTAGAGAGTGGCCTCTACACCTGCTTTCATTCTTGTATTAGAAAAGTTCATTGCAGCCCTTAAGTATACACTATACCTCATAAATCATGACCATAGATGATTTACATAACTTTAAAGTAGATGAAGACATTGACATGGTTCAAAATTTTCCAAACCTTGGCTCAGTCATTAATCAGAATGGAGACTGCTGCCAAGAACTCAGAAGAAAAAGAGGACTTGGAAGGGCAGCCATGAGGAAACTAGACAAGATCCTCAAGTGCAAAGTTTTTGATTGCTAAAGTAAGGAAGGATTGTCCATGCCATTTATTTCCAATTTCGATGTATGGTTGTGAAATCTGAACAGTGAAGAAAGCTGGCAGGAAGAGAATCAACTTATTTGAAATGTGGTGCTAGAGAAGAGTTCTATAGATACCATGGGCTCTGCAAAAGACAAATAAATGGCTCCCAGAACAAATCAAACCTGAACTCTCCCTAGAGGCCAAAATGACTAAACTAAGGGCCTTTGCAGACTGCTAGAAATAGTGCAAATTG